GGGAAAAAAAAAAAAAAAAAAAAAAAAAAAAACTATTATAGTTCTATTCCAGGTGGAACCAAAAGTAGTAAACAAAATTTTGCTTAAAATAGTCACCCTTATCAAGAAGAGACTATATTCGAACTTAGAAAAACCCAGTTAAGTGGTGGCCAGTTATCTCAATTGTTTAGAGCACAATGTTGATAACACCAAGGTCAAGGCTTCAGATTCTCATACTGGGCAGCCGCAAAAAAAAAAAAAAAACTAGTTAAGATAATGAACTGTACAAATGCAACTATCAAATCTTTAAAAGTGTTATCTATTTATAGAAGTGTTCTCTAAGTAACTGTCATCTATGTAAGAATTATATGTAAGAATTTTTTTACTTTATTTGAAGTAGATTTGCCTGAAACTTCAAATCATTCACTTACTTTTCAAGGCTTACCTATTCCTTTTTTATTTCAGCCCTTTGGAGTGAATCAGCCTGGACCTTATATCATGTATACAACTGTAGATGCAAATGGGTATCTGAAAAATGGCTCAGGTAAGACCAGATCCAATGTCCGTAATGTATAAAAGCACCTTCAATCAATATATTTGGAAGGTAAACTGATGACAAATATTATCATGTTTTCATATCCCTTAATAAAATCTTTGTTTTTATTATACTTAGTCTTTCTGTAGACTTACCTTAGTAGATTATAACAGATCCTCATGACTAGGATATTAACATTTAATTTTTCATATATCCCAGTTGTGATGGAGCCAACTCATTATCCTTGTTTTTCAGTTGAAGTAATAGAGAGATTAGGAAAAATTACTTGAGTGATCTTGATCAAAGAGTGAAGTGGTAAATTAGTTAAACTCAGAAGAAGCAAATATTAGGAATCCAGTTAATACTAAACTAAACTAATCCTAGTTTTTTCATATGTGGAATATAATCTAGAATATATATAAAGTTTTCTCCATATATTATTATGAAGAAAAAATCTGGTTATACATTTTGTATGAAGCCACAATGACTACTGTATCCAAGCCTCTACAATTTATTTATTTTCACTGTAATACAGCAATACAACAGTATACATCTATGTACATATGTTGCTGTGCAGTTAAATGCAAAATCCTCACTGGTATGAAGCCACAATGACTACTGTATCCAAGCCTCTACAATTTATTTATTTTCACTGTAATACAACAATACAACAGTATACATCTATGTACATATGTTGCTGTGCAGTTAAATGCAAAATCCTCACTTCATAGAAAAAAAAATCTGGAAGAATATACACCTAATTAACTTTTATCTTGGGGAGCAAGATTTTAAGAGATTTACTTCCTACTTTGTGCATTTCTATAACTGTTGGCTATTTTACAGTCCTTTTTAATTAACTTTTTAAAGATAAATTTAACAGCAAATCACAGTCTATCAAAAATATTACTCTTAAAAATTAGCTGTAGAAAATATATTTACTTTTGTGATTGTGGCACCTAGTAGGTATCTTACTAGATGCTAAAAATACCTATTTAATAATTTTCACTACCCATTACTATTTTTTTAGGTGAATGGAAGAGTATTTATTTAGCATGATTTTTTTAAATCCATCCCAAAACAATAATGGAACATTGGGTTTATTCTTACTAAATTGAATTCTTACCTGTTCTATAGATAGGAGAAGAAATTGGAAAATAATTTATAAATATTAAAAAAAGGGAGAAAATGTCTAAGGTAAAGATAAATGCAATTGACTGCATAAGTCAAATGAATGCATAAATTTTTATGGCAAAACATCATAAACAAAATAGGCACTGGCAAACTGGGAAAAGTCTTAATGTTCAAAGATAGAGAAATAATAAGTTACACCATTTTATAAATATTCTCCAGCCTACAGAATATTTTTAAATTTTTTTTAAATGAGCAGGTGTTTATAAAATTCGGGAGGTAGACACATCTGCATGTATAATCCATATTGTATGTGTGTGATTTTAAGTGTGTCTGTGTGTAGGAAAAATATATAAACAAAGTGGCATATAAAGAAATGTTACCATGATTATCTCTTGGTTGTGGGATTTTCTTTATATATTTGCTTACATTTTAGTTTACTACACTGAGCAAATATTACTTTTTAATGTTAAGAAAAAGCTCTTAAAATATTTCAAATGTATGCTATATTTCATGCATAAAAATACATTCTGAACAGAGGAGTGGCACTTAATTTAATTGATGTAGGAACACTCTCATGAAATCCTGCCCCAAATTTTAAAGGATGCAAATTCCTAGTTTAAATGTTAAGCATGTCGAACTCTAAGGAAATGTTCCTTGGTAACCATACCTCTCATCCCATCCTGTCCCACCAGCAGAGAATTTTCCATTGTAGGAAAAGGATGACCACATTTATGTATTTCAGAAACTGTAGCCCTGGTTTTCTCATAGAGCAACTGAGCATCACTACCAATTAGTGGGTCATAAAAGCAACTTAGTGGCTTACAGGACTTTTTATTTAATAGAATAAAAGAGAACGATAGGAAATATCACAGTACATCATAGATAGTAAAGTTTTGTTTCATGAAGTTTTTATTTTAGGGAGGTGTGTGTATGTATGTATGTGTTCATACTGGGTGATAACATGAAATATAGTTTTTATTGTGGGCTGTGGTGAAAAAAGTTTGAAAGCCACTGCCAGAGAGAGGTAACAACATGTATTAATGTTATTCAGTAAAGACCTGGCCTGATTATCCTTTTGCTTATAGATAGAACTTTTCATTCTTATCCAATACTCTGTGCTCTTACTCCCATTTCCTAGCAAAGCCTGAATAGTCAAATGTTATTAAGAGAGTCACATTAGAGAGGCATCATTAATTTTCCAGATAAACAATAGTTCCTGTGACAGACCAAAAAAGTAAAACTAAACTACATTTATTATGAGCATTTTAGGAGCTAAACTCCTTCCATTTTGAATCTAGGATTTTGTTTACTGCTCTTGTAAATTAGCCAGAGATCGGCATCAGGGATCTAAATTCCCTAAACAACATTTGATAAAAATTTAGTAGATTGGAACATACTGGCCAAATTTGGTAGACTAGTGAGTTATTGGTCATTTATGAATAATATTATGAGACCAAGAATTCTTATTCTGCCTTTTAAATTACATATTTGGCACTGCTATTTAAATCCAGAGCAAAATTATTTCCCTTTTTCCTTTGAGGTTCCTATTTGCTAACATATCTGAGAAAAACATGAGTAACCCTTACCTTCCATGTACTCTTAATCTACTCAAATAGTGGCATTAAGTGATCACGTGCTGCAATGTAGGAGAAAACCAAGTGTTTTCTCCACACATTTACTCAACACAAAACACTTCTATGATCAGATATGTGGGTTTTTCCCACACTAACCAATTCTCTAACACAACTGGGTATCCTGTAATTCAATTCAATTCTGATACTATCTATCTGTAGTTAGAGTCATATCTCACAGGGCTCAGTCCCACAAGACTGTCCCCCACTTCAGATGCCAGTCACAAGTCCAGGCATCCAGTATTTCTGACAGATGGTCTGTAAATTGGTGTTCCTCACAACTCCCTCCTCAGGTTCAGTCATTTGCTAGAATGGCTTACAGAACTCAGGGAAACACATTTACTGGTTTATTATAAAGGAAACAGATGAAGAGATGCTTAGGGTGAGGTTTGGAAGGGTTTTGAGCACAGGACCTTCTCGTCTCGTGGAATTTGGTGTGCTCCATGCTCCCAGTACGTGGATGTGTTCAGTAACCCAAAAGCTTTCCAAGCCCTGCCCTTTTGGATTTTATGAAAGCTTCATTACACAGGCATGATTGATTAAATCATTGGCCACTAGTGATCAATTCAACCTTCAGCCCCTCTCCCCTCCCTGGACTAGGACCAGAGTAAGGGGGATGGGCTGAAAGTTCAAACTGCCCTGGCATCCAGTCCCATCCTGAGGCTATCCAGGAGCCCCCAACCATCATTAGCATGCCAAAAGACACATCACTTTAGAGAGTCCAAGAGGGTTAGGAGTCATGAGCCAAGAATCTGAAATATGTATTTATTATAAATTACAATATCACACATGCCTCAAATGTGGGAACAGTTTTAAAATGTATGGCTGATTGAGAGCACAGCATGTCAAATGGCAAAGAAGCATTTGGGTTAAAATACAGCAAACCTTAACACAGGTTTAAATTGTGCAGGCCCACTTACATGTTGATGTTTTTTCAATAAATACATTGGAAAATTTTTGGTTAGGTATGTCATGCATGCATGACATACCTAGCCAAACAGTTAAGTAGCCTACCTAACAGTAAGGTGTTAGTAGATAAGTACTATAACTACTTAAGTGATGACACAACATGGCATCCCACCTCCCATGGGCCACTCCTGGAAAGGGCCACATACTTAAGTAGTAGTCAAGTAGTTAAGTTTTGGGAGAGTACAGCCCAGCCACCAAAGAAAAAAAAGTTTTGGGAGAGTCAAAAGTTATACGCGGATTATTGACTGCACCAGGGTCAGTGCCCCTAATCCCCCATGTTTCCAAAGGTCAGCTGTGTAACAAAATTCATATTGATGGCAAACATTATTGAGAAAAATGATTTATTGTTACACATGGGCACATTGTCTTTCTATAATTTTAATTATAACCATTCATATTTCTCCATTTTAATCAGTAATTATCAATTATAGCTTTCAGTGTCAAAAACCATTTCAGGGCCGGCCTGGTGTTACACTGCTATAGTGCGCCGCTTGGGAAGCGCGGTGGCGCTCCCGCCGATTCGGATCCCACATACACACCGGCCGCTCACTGGCTGAGCGAGGGGCGGGAGCAACACCGAGGGTTGCGATCCCGTGGCCGGTCCCGGTCCGGTATGGGCGCGACACTGAGGGTTGCGATCCGTTGCCGGTCACGGAAAAAGACAAAAAGAGAAAAAAAAAAAAAACCATTTCATTTCTCATATACTTATTTTCTGAAATTATCTTCAAAAAGTATAGTCATATTCTATTTATCCACACATAACATTCCACAAAAGAAGTTTTTTAGTCCCAGATCAATTTTATCTTAACCACTCAGCACATTTTAAATTGTCATATACATAATTCAGCCAAAATCTTAGCCTGAGCAATACTTAATGAGGCATATATTTGTGTCAAAAATCATAATGTATAACAAAAGAAAATGGAGAGAATTGTTATGTTTTCCTGGACTATCCATGACATTCTTCTCCTCTGAAGGAACAAATTCTTGCAAGAGTAATCATTCCCTTACCTTAATTTCACATCAACTAAAATTCTAACAGAAATAGCCAAGTTGGCAGAGATAAGGATGGGGTATGGCTCAGTGATGATGCTATTCTTTTACTGAAATGAAGGGAGGTAGAGAGGGAAGATATGGGATAGCTGTAAGCAACAACTTATATATCCCCTTGATGTAATTTATAAGAATTGAATGATTCAATGAATTACAGGAATACAAAAATTCTAAGGAACTGTAAGAAGTTTGGGTAATTATTCAGCTGTTTAGCAATTAGAAATT